TGGCTGATGATTATATCACTAAGAAACATAAAGACAACAGGAATGTTAATTACTGTTTACTCTTAGGCACAGAGAAGTCAAGTTTTTAGTCACAGGAATCTAGGAGTTTATAATGGAGGTGCTTCTTTAAGATGGAGTCGCTCTTGCTTCATTCCCTGCTTCTCTTGGAGGTGCTCCTCCACGATAGGGTCGTTTCTGGTATACTTGGGCTTTAGGTCCAGAGGCAATTAACATGTAATATTTAAAGGCTTTTATTCTGTGGGAGACATATTGGGCAAGAAAACTGAGTAAATTAGAGCAAAAACCAAAATTAGAAGCACGGTGAATAGAGCACTTAAAACGGGAGCAAGGACCAAGGAGCCTACTGGTACCAGAGGCCACTCTAAGCGTCTCATGACTCAGCAGCAGCCTGTCCTTTCTCCGACCATCTGGTCATGGAGCCGCTGAGCCATACTCTTGACAATGTCTGACTTGCAATCAGCCTCTGGAGTGACCAGAGCAAGGCTGTCACTTTTTGGTTTTTGAAGCACTATTAGAAAGGACCCTCCTGGCCCATCCTTACAGACCAAGGTACCTGTGAGAACAGTTTACTTGGCTTTGGTGTGACAGACTCGCAGGCTAACTTTACAATTATGTGAGGCCCCATCTGGACTAGTTGGAGGGGCTTTTTTCTTTTAGTTGTTTTACTGTATATAATATTTAAAGATAGCAAAACTAGCTCCAGAACCCTTCTTTCAGTTTTTATCTTATTTTTTTGTTTTTATTTCTTACAAGTTTAATATTAAAAATTGCCTTAATTTAGCAGACAAGTTTATTGTTTTAAGTTATTAATAGAAACAAGGCTATTTATTTAATGTTTCTTTTTCGGGTTTGTTTTTTTTTGATATTTAAGGGAGCCTTACCTGAGGGTTTTAGGATTTACCTGTGTACAAGCGACATATTTTGAGACAACACCATTGATAAGGCTATTTAGACTAAGTACAAAGTATTTTTTTCTTAACTAGTTTAGCAAGTTTTGGGTTCTTTTTTTGACATAAAATTAGGATTAGAGCCATAGTTAATTTTTTTTTTTTGAGAGATTTTCACTATGGGGCGCGTGCGCTCGCCAGACAGACAGAGAGAGACATAGAGACAGAAAGC